ATAGTTGTATTTTTATACTTAATTTTTTGGGCATAGGTGAACTGTTGTCTCGAAACGTTCCTCTTTCGAGAACCGTCCAACGTCCTGGTGAGTTTGTCCTCGTGTGCCCTAGGGCTTACACTTCGAGTCTCTGCACAGGATACGCTGTCTCTGAAAGCGTCTATTACGCCACCACGGACTGGCTTGAAGGGGCTCAACAAGATTTTAAGGTAAGGTAAACCATTACCAATTCAGGTTGATAAATTAGATTTATAACTATATTTCCTCTTAGGATATCCAAGAAAGTCGTGAACCAACAATGTTCTCTCTGGACCAACTCCTGGTGAGCATCGCTTCGGATGCAAGAGCCCAAGACGTTGTTTTGAAGTCGATCCTGGAGCCTTTGCAGGAGCTGGTGGGACGAGAGAGTAGTGAACGTGAACAGTTTTTGAAAATAGTCAATGATGGTTTGGATAGTGCTGGTGATTGTGATAAAAGTGAACGTAGTGTTCAAGTGAAAGAACTGAAAGACAAGGAGTGCGATGTGTGCAGGGCTAATCTCTATGTCTCAATGGTAAGTAGAATAGACATTTTAAGAAAAAATTATTTTTTAATATTTGATGTTGGATTAAATATAAAATATTGGTATTACAACCAAGTAGTTGATCGGGAGTGTTGACCTATTTTTTATATAACTGTATGTTAGGTCTGTTCTTTCTCATTTGTCACGTGACACTGGTCAGCATTTATGTAACTTCAGGAGAAGTACTGCGTATTTTTATAAAAGCTATTAGTTATGGTGAGTTAATTTTAAATAGATTGCAGACACAAATATTCTGTCCATTTAGGCATCTGGGCAGTTGTTTATTTCCATAATGGAAAGATAGCTGCTTCTGCTCATGAAAAATAGGTAAAGTTTATAGTGTTTCTTGCTCAAGAGGACGCACATTTAAGAGTTTATATAAAGAATTTCGTTTTGGAGATTTTTTTTTGAGAGAGGAACAAAGTTTTCATCAGCCAACTGAAGTTGATGTTGACCAAGGCAAAGTTATCATTGGAGATGATCATCAGATAATTCTTTGAGAAGGTTGCGAGTAGGCTGCATGTACAGCATGAAATCTTGGCCAAAACAACAATTTAAAATGTTTCGATCCAGTACACAACTTGATACTTCGGCTCCTTACTGAAAATTTAAAGAAAACTGTTAGGTACATGAACTTTAAATAGAATCAAACTTCTTCAATTTTTTCTTTATAGTGCAGTAAACGGAGAGGAAAAAAGGGCATAACCTCTGAATTTTTTTACTGTGCTCCGAATTGACTGAAATTTTGGAATTAGGTTCATCTTACCCTCAAGTTCAAAAGTGAAAACAATTCGGGTTGCGCCATCACCCCCCGGGGGGATGACACCCCCTCTCAATTGTGTAATTACATTTTTTCAAAATAACGTCCGAAATCGATAGAAGAACTAATTATAAGAAAAAAATGTCTTCTATAGTTTTTCAAAAAAACTAATACTTTTCAAGTTACTGTCCACTAAAGATTCATATATTTTTGGCGTTTTTCTTCGTTTTTTTTGCAAATATCTCCTAAAATATACATTTTAACGAAAATCATGTAATGAACAAAATAATGTCAGTAAAAATCTTAATAAATCGGTATTACATAAAGTGTTCTAGGAAAAATATTAAGAAAGATTTGAAAGACCGAAGTCGTTTTTTATTTCGTTCAAGATTTAATTGTTGTATCTAAAGCCATCTAGTGTCGAGGTTTTACATTTTATGCATTTCGGTGAAATTGGGTTTTATAGTGCTCAACATAAGCTTTAAAATGAGTGCTGTTACAAGTTTTTTGCGTGTAAAATGAGTGAGCTATCGTGCAAATAAGAAGCATATACGAAGTTTTTTTCTTTTAAATCATATGGTTTAATGAGCGCCATTTCCACCAGAATTAAAGTAATTCACATTCCATCTAGAAATCACTTCATTATAGACATCTTGATGGATTCTAGCAGATTCACTTCTTTAGTACAAACTATTTTCAGAAAACTCACGATTTTATAAAAACTTTTTTTTCAAAGGATCATCACTGGTGATTGAAAGTGGGTCCTGTATAGTAACAAAGATAATTTTCTCAGATTGATAAGATTATAAAGGTGTTGCAGCTTCTTTCAATTAACCAAAAGATCAATTATAATATTTACTGGATAAAACAGTGAAAAAAATCAACCTGAATTATCACATCTAAAAGGTGTACAACTTCGGAAATTCGTGGAAAATTTGTGGTAAATTCGTGGAAAGTCTGGAAACATCTGGTCACTGTTTATTTCGAAGTTTTTTTTGAGAATGGTGAAACTCTCATAAATGTCAACCACCAAAAGATCAATTATAATGGTTACTGTATAAAGCAGTAAAAAAAATCGACCAGAATTGTCACGTCTGAAAGGTATACAACTTTGGCAACTCATGGAAAATTACTGCAGCCGTTTGGCAATGATGCCTTGCCCTCCTATGCATTCTTGGTCTGGTGACATCTGATCTCTATTTGTTTCGGATGACTACCAAAAGATCAATTATAAAGTTTACTGGATAAAGCAATAAAAAATCTGCCAGAATTATCAAGTTTAAAAGGTGTACAACTTTTGCAACTCGTGGAAAATTATTGCAGCTTGGCAATGATGCATGCTCCTCCTCCCATGCATTCCTGGTCTGGCAATATCTGATAACTATATATTTCGGAGTTTGAAGAATGGTAAAACTGTCATAAATGACAACCACTAAAAGATCAATGATGATGTTTACTGGATAAAGCAGTAACAAAATCCGCCAAAATCGTCACACCTGAAAGATGTACAACTTTGGAAAATCTTGGAAATTTATTGCAGCTGTCTGGCAGCGATACCTCGCCTCCTCATGCAATCCTGGTCTGGTGACATATCTGATCACTATTTATTTTGGAGTTTGCAGAATGGTGAAACTGCCACAAATGACTATCACCTTAACTGGCACTTGGTTCAGTTTTTTGCTGATTAAAACCAGAATTTATGCTGATAAGAGAGATAGAAATTGTGCAGCTCAAGAAAAATATATGGCAAAAGGAGGCCACTATGAAAAAATCAGCTAGAATTGTCTGGTTTAAAAGGTGTACAATTTTGGAAACTTGTGGGAAATTACTGCAGACTGTCTGATAAGAGCAAGAAAAAAAAAGATGGTAAAGAAGATCATCTAACAAACTGAATAGCACAATAAACAAAATCAGCTAGTATTGTCAAGTTTAAAAGGCGTACAACTTTGGCTACTCGTGGGAAATTGAGGCAGATTGTCTGGCAATGGTGCATTCCTGATCTAGCACATCTGATCACTATTTATTTCGGAGTTTGCAGAATGGTGAAACTGTCACAAATGACAAATGATCACCTTCACTTGCTCTTGGTTCAGTTTTTTGCTGCTTAGATACCAGGATTTATGCTGATAAGAGCGAGAAATTGTTCAGCTCAAAGAACAATAGATGGCAACAGGAGGTCGTTGAACAAACTGAATAGCGCAATAAAAAAATCAGCCCGAGTTGTCAAGTTTAAAAAGTGTACAACTTTGGCAGCTCTTGGGAAATTATTGCAGATTGTCTGGCAATGGTCCTCCTGATCTGGCACATCTGATCACTATCTATTTCGGAATTTGCAGAATGGTGAAACTGTCATAAATGACTAGCAAATTCACTGGCACTTGGTTTAGTTTCGCTGATAAGAGTGAAAAATTGTGCAACTCAAAGAAAAATAGATGGTAAAAGGAGATTATTGAACCAAATGGAAATTATGTGTTGATTAAAAAGTGTTCTTTGGTGAAATAAAATAGTACGCGGAGTCTCTCCGACTGGCTGAAGTCATACCTGGTAATGAATAAAATGTGATTTCTAGTTAATTCGTATTGTTTCTTTAAGATCTGTTAACTCCATTAACTTTAGTCATCATAATCCAATTGGGTTATGATGACTAAAGTTACATTAAGGTAAGATACCAGATGTTCGATTTATATTTTTGCAAAAACTGCCCCAATGGTAGCATCTATTTGTTTGGATGTTGGATCATTCCCACCATTCATCATTTTCTAACCAATTTTTTCTTTAAAAAAAGTTGATCAGGTTTCAGCTTTTAATATCGAGAAATTCGTATTAGAATCTCCTGCAGATTCTCACAATAATCTATTTCTTCACCAGTTACGATTGGTGAACAGAGTTTGTGGACGTACAGTGGATAGTGGTGATAAAAATGTTGCAATAAATAATTTAACATCTTTCATGGCTGCATTTGGTGAAATATAGATAGCAATTCCATTTATCATTTCCTAACCAAATATGTCTTTAAGAAGAGTTGATCAGGTTTCAGCTTCTGATATCCAGAAAATCACCTTAGAATCTCTTGCAGAACTTACTGGATTCTCACAATAATCTATTTTTTCACCAGTTACGATTGGTGAACAGTGTTTGTGGACGTATAGTGGATAGTGGTGATAAAAATGTTGCAATAAATAATTTAATATTCTTTATGGCTGCATTTGGTGAAATATAGATAGCAATTCCATTTATCATTTTCTAACCAAATTTGTCCTTAAGACAAGTTGGTCAGGTTTCAGCTTGGTATTAGAATCTTCTGCAAAAGTTACTGGATTCTCACAATAATCTATTTTTTCACCAGTTACGATTTGTGAACAGAGTTTGTTGACGTGCAGTGGATAGTGGTGATAAAAATGTTGCAATAAATAATTTGACATTTTTTATGGCTGCATTTGGTGAAATATAAATAGTAATTGGAATCAATTTGTGCTCCAATTCTTTTTGGCATTGATATAGTGACACCAGGATTTATTTGAGTAAGGAAGTTTTATATTTAAAGGTGAAGTGGATGAATTATTATTTAAAGACAGCATCCTAGAAAGAAATCAAAATTTGTTACGAGAGCAGCAGAGGTGCACGTGTAAATCTTCACTGAAATCCAATCAACTAACACCTCCATTTATCCTCTTCCAGGTCTCCCACAAAGAAGAAGACTCCACCATGTGTCTCAGACATGCAATACGCTTCCTGAACCAGAAAAGACAAAAGATCGCAAACGAGAACTCGAAGACATCAGGAAAGAAGAAGATCCTGATCACCGAAAGGGATTTCCTCAACAACTGGCAACTGGTCTACAGCTATTCGATCCAAGACCTGGAAAGTCTTTGTGATAAAGTCAAGAGTCGGTTGGAAGATGGAGGCTCGGTTGTGCAGGACAGTGTCAGTAGCATCAGTGCTGGCAAGGGACAGGGTAAGAGGAAGAAAAAGTTTTAAAGGAAGGAAAATATTAGTTTGTAATAAACTAGAAGTGTTTTATTTTATATTGTGTATATTTTTACCCAGTTGTACTATATATAGTATGAAGTAACTTTCAAATGCATTTATTTATTCCCAAATTAATATCATAGTTTAAACCTGGTACTATATATAGTACATCCTTTATATTTTTATTTTTATTATAAAAACTATGCCAAATATATTTATACTCGATAGTATTTAGATATCGATATTATATTTTATTTTATACGACAGGGTTTATACTGATTTTTTTGTAGAAAGAAAATATTTATTGTGTAATTAATATTTTTAAGTGGACCATTCGAGTTGTGCCATTTTAATTTCAGGCCATATCTCTAAATTTTAGAACAATATAGGATTATTTGCATTTGTATAAATTAAATGAAAAGTAGATGTAGAAATGTTATTCGAGATGAGTAATACTCAACCGATAATAATAAGAAAATATATATTAGGGTGGTCCTTAATATGGACATTTTCGGATTTCTTTGCTCCCAAGGGCTCAAAGCCTTCCAAATTAATAAAAAAAAACTACTCCAAAAGTTTTAGCTTTTAATATTAATGTTTAGACAGTCCGCAATTCAATTAAAAGTTCTGTGTATTTTTTTTAACATATATCATTAAGTAAATTCTTGCGCCATCTGTGATAATAGTCTTGTAATTTTGATGGCAATTTATTACTGATAATTTGAGTATCATCAATGAAATAAATATTTTGCTACAAAATTAATTTTGATACCATGATAAATAAATATTTTGTTAACCAGTCCACATGGATTTAATTAGATGTTAAGTGTTTTATATTTGAGTTCAGAAATGCAATCACAGATGGCGCAAGAATTTACTTAAAGATATATGTTAATAATAAATAATCGAAACTTTTAATTGAATTGCGGACTATCTAAATGTTAATATTAAGAGCTAAAACTTTCAGAAAATTTTGTTTTATCAATTTGGAAGCATTTGAGCCCCTGGGAGCAAAGAAATTGTAAAATATCCATATTAAGGATCACTCTAAATGTATGTATGTATACATTATTATTATCTGTTTTTTTTTATAAAATTAAGCTTTAAGCATTTTTTTAAATTTATGAATTTTTTCATCATGGAAAGAATTAGATACATTGGAGACGATATCTAGAATATTGATTTAAAAAGAATGGTTGCATATATAGGGTGTCCCAGAATTTAACGTCAAGCTGAAATGGAGTGATAGTATTGACCTGTTCTGAAAAAAATTTGGAATAAATACTATCACAAGTTGTTTGATAATTATGAGCTTTTAAGTGCAACCTAAGGCTGATATTATCAAAATCTTTATATTATTAAAATATATAAGAAAAGATATTATTATTAAAGATAGATTAAAGATATTGAAAAGATATTAGATATAAAAGAAAGAAAAAGATATTGTCTAATATTGTTTATCAATTATGAGCTTTCAAGTGCAACCTAGAGCTTTGTTCAAAAGTTCTGTCCTGAAAAAAATAGAAAAAAATATCCAACGTTGTTTTGAAAATTTTGAGCTTTTAAGTGCATCTTAGAGCCTTGTTTAAAAGTATTGTCCTGATAAAAATTAGTATAATATTTTATTATCTCACGTTGTTTTTGAAAATTATGAGCTTTTAAGTGCAACCTAGAGCTTTGCTAGAAAGTGCTGCCTATAAACAATTATAAATTTTTATAGAAATTGAGTAAAATGCACTAGCAAAAATCATGTCATTTTTAGGTTTTAATTTTTACTTGAAATTTTTCAATAATAAAATTGTCAAGTATTTTACCAATTTACAATCCTGATTAAATGCTCCAACTTTTGATGAAACTCACCAACACACTTCTAATTAATGATTTTTTTTGAAGAAGAGCCTCTAAATTATTAAGGACAATATCCGACAAATGGTCATAATTTCACCAGAAATTGCACTTTGAAGCTCATAATTTCAAAACAACGTGAGATAGATTTTTCTTCCTAATTTTTTCCTGGACAGATAAGGTTATACAGACAATTATCCTGCCAAAACCCTTAGTACATTTTTTTTAAAGGAGAGTCTGGCGATTTTAAAATTTTAAATTCATTTATTCATTCTTTCAACAAAAAGTCTTAATTCTTGAAAACTTAGGGCAAATGTGGTATTATTTTTTACTGTGGTCCTAGAAATGTTATGCACGGTTACTGTTCCAAAGTTTAAATCAACAATATTTATAAAAATTAACCACAATAACCGAAAAATGGTCATATTTTTACCAAAGCTCTAGTACTACCTTGAAAACCCATAATTTTCAAACAATGTGAAATAATTTTTTACTAAATTATTTCAGGACAGTTAAGTTAAATATTATCACCCTGTTTGGACTTGACGTTAAGGTCTGAGATACCCTGTATATATATATATATATATATATACAGTGCTGGATTTACAGTAGGGGCAATCGGGGCTGCTGCCCAGGGCGGCAAATTTTAGGGGGCGGCAAAATTTGGATAGTGAGAAATAAAATTCTATACAATATAATCAACTTTTCTTTAACAACATTTTTTATTTCAAGAAATATAATTAACAAAACATAATACGATTGCAATGCAAAATTTGGGTTGAAATAACCGATAACTAAAATTTATTATTTTGCCTTGCCTCCCTTTCCGAACGTAAATTATCAAATTGGTTAATAAGTTATTAAATTTGGCCATTTGGCTAATAATAAGATCCGTAAACAAGCTGAAAGTTTAAGCAAAATATGTTCTTCAGTTTCCGAGCCCTCTTAAAATGACGAATTTGTGCACTTCCAAGCTTATAACGTCGAAAAAATTTAAACTAGTGACTCATGGCATTGTACCTTAAGACAAATTACTGAAACATCCCGTACTGAAAATTACATTTTTTTAAAGGCATTAAAATTTTTTGAAAAATGAAAAGACTTTTAAAACACATTTTTTGTATTTTGAAATTTTTCGAAAATTATGAACTTTTTGCAAAGCCATCGCGCTGCGTAGCTGAACCAAATGCTAATCAGCACAGCACGTCTCCCCATCAATACAAATCTAATATTTTTTAATTATTCAAGTCGATTATGAGAACACTAATCAACCGATTTAAACGATTCAATTCCTGTTGATAAGGAGACGTGCTGATTAGTTATTGGTCAAGGCAGGTCCAACTGTTTTGAAGATACGGGCCAAAATGCCAAAATTGATAATTCAGCTTTTAAGAAAAACAGCGTCCAATATCATTCAAAAACATTTACAGAATAAATACCTTCTTAAATTTGTGGGGCAGGTTTAGCGATTTCGATGATTCATTAAAACAAATTGGAAAAAGAACATTTGGCGGACAAAAGTGATGATAAGACATATGCACATTAATTTATCAGATATTTTAAAGATATTATAATAATAAGTATACATTTTGTTTACATTTATATGCGTTCTGTAACATTGTTTATCCGTTAGACTGCGACGCGGCGCTTACGCGCTTCTATAATTTGTCTCTACGCCGCTGAAGCAGCGCGACTGCTTTAAAAAAAAGTTCAAAAGTTTGTAAAATTTCAGGGATGGGGCGGCATTTTTGTCAGTGCCCCGGGGCGCCAAATTTCTAAATCCGGCCCTGTATATATATATATATATATATATATATATATATATATATATTTGTAATATTTTTGCAGCCCAATCGTCGCATAAAAAAAAAGATTAAATAACAACATTATTTAAACGTTTCGACATTTGATGTGTGTCATCATTCAGTAATCTAAAAAACATATAACATAAATACAAAGTTGATGATAAATATAAATATATAAAAAACCCGCTCCCACTCTTTCACTACACTTGCGTTGTAATCTTGATTAGTGTCCATAATGTACCGCTATTAATAACATAAAATATAGAAGGGCAATATGTGCTCCTTCTATTTTCTCGTTTGTTAATATATAGTATAATATAATAGTATATAATATAATAGTATATTATTATTTTACACAAATTTAGTGTTCAATCAATTTTACATCATAATTAATTTTTTCAGTTGTTTTTTCTGGTTTGGTATGTATAATTTCCTCCTTTTTTTATATATTTATATTTATCATCAACTTTGTATTTGTTATATGTTTTTTAGAGCACTGAATGATGACACACATCAAGTGTCGAAACGTTTAATGGAATAAATAATTTTGTTATATAATCTTTTTTTTATTCGGCGATTAGGCTGCAAAAATATTACAAATATGTATCAACGTCGACAAAAACTATCATATATATATATATATATATATATATATATATATATATATATATATGATAGTTTTGTCGACGTTGATACATATTTGTAATATTTTTGCAGCCTAATCGCCGAATAATATATATATATATATATATATATATATATATATATATATATATATATATATATAATGAATGAATGAATTATCAAACAATCTTAAGAATTATATCACATTCTTCAAATAAAATATACAATTATAACCAGATTAAGACTGTAAATATTATAAGTGTTAGATTATTATATAAATATATATATATATACATACATATATTCCATCATTATACATGCAAATATTCATTTCTATTCAAGATTTTTATAATTTTTATAATACAAAATACATTTAACACAAAATAGATAGGAATAAGCATTATTCATTCCTTTCACTCAAACACTCGATACACACAAACAACATTTTGTTTAAAGAAACCTTAAATACTCATACGATTAATAAATATCAAAATTCGTAATAAACTAGAAAATAATTATAACACGTTAAGAACTATACAAATGATTTTAGTTTTTTTATTATTCTTTCATATAATTTTTATTCCCGTCAACAATTTTTACATTTGTGTCAAATAGAATAACATTAGAAAATAAATAATAAATTAAAAAAAGAAATTTTAGAAAATAAATAAAGACTTATGATATTCATTAATCGTTTTTCTCAGCAGTTTAAAAATATTTATAGAAATTTATGAATA